TGGAGTAATGATGATGGAAATTCAGCTTTGCATCACAGAAATAAATTATATTTTAAAGGATATTAAAATAGAAACCATTATTTTATATTGTAATAACATTTTGCAAGATTACTGTTTTTTTCTGTATTTTTGATTAAATAAATGCAGCCTTGATGAGCAGAAGAGACTTCTTTAAAAAACATTACAAGTCTTACTGATCACAAACTTTTGACCGGTAGTGTAGGTTGAAAGTGTGTCTCTGTTTTGCATGCAGACAAATTGGATATTATATGAATAGCTGCCTAACTGTGGATCCCTGTATTTTTAATTCGATCATTTTTATTAGTTTTTACGGTAACACTTTATTTTAGGGTCTCTTAACTAGTTGCTTATTAGCATGCATATTACTAGATTATTAGCACATATTAATGCCTTATTCTACATCTCTAACCCTACCCAATACCTAAACTTAACAACTACCTTACTAATCATTAATAAGCAGCAAATTAGGACTTCATTGAAAAGTCGTAGTTAATAGTTAATAAGTGTTCCCTATTTTAAAGTGTTACCGTTTTTATTTAATGTTACTATTTATGTTTCTTTTTTTTTTTGTTTATTTCCAGTTTGCAAGTTTAGTGCGTTAACTATCACTTAGATGCCAGTGCAACATTTCTATTCCTCGTGTCTAAAGTTTAAGCTGTTAAAAACACAGAGAAGTCGCATCGGCGTATAAATCACATTTTAATGTTGCATTCAGAAATAATGCGCTATATAAATAAACTTGGGCTTTTCTTTTTCGGGGCGAATCCAAATGTGTGTATTTTGTGTGCTTGATGTTAATTGCATCATTTAAATCGCTTTGGAATAGAAAGTGAAGCACATTTCATATGTTAAAAAAACCTGACTTATATTCCCAGAAAATATAGGATTTTCTTATGATGAGTATTGAAATATATTGGGACACACTGCTGCATTAAGTGCATGAATATTCTTCTTTTGTGATCCATTAGACGGGTTTGGAAAGACTCAAAGGGGGAGTGAAAAAGCTTGAATATCTTGAATTAAGATGGTTGCATGCTTTTAGGGCTGAGAACTAGAACACTGTTTTTCAAGGTTCATCAGATGTGAACATGAGAGCTGAGCAGGTGTGCAGGAAAGACAAACATTTCTCCATAAGCTGATTGATAACTGATTGAACGATGCATTGTAAAAATGTCTGTGAAATATCAAGACTGTGAATGTTTAGTTCTAGTCGTATGCCTGATATATGATGTGTGAAACTTATTTTTGACATTTAAATGGCAGACGTTAAATTGAGAATCTTTGGAGCTAGAATTTTTTTTTTTTTTAGGAGCCTAGTTTGTATATTTATGTTTATTATTTTACCGTGCACATTTGTTGTGTAAAGCAACGTAATAAATGAGGAATTTGAAACGGTTTCGTAGCAGAAAGTCTTAGAATCATAACGTGACTGTTGCATGCATTGCAAAAAATAAACATGTGACCCTGGAGCACAAAAGCAGTGTTAAGTCGCTGGGGTATATTTGTAGCAATAGCCAACAATACATTGTATGGGTCAAAATTATAGATTTTTCTTTTATGCCAAAAATCATAAGGATATTAATTAAAGATCATGTTCCATGATTCAAATTTCCTACCGTAAATATATCAAAACTTAATTTTTGATTAGTAATATGCATTGCTAAGAACTTCATTTGAACAACTTTAAAGATGATTTTCTCAATATTTAGATTTTTTTGCACCCTCAGATTCCAGATTTTCAAATAGTTGTATCTCGGCCAAATATTGTCCTATCCTAACAAACCATACATCAATGCAAAGCTTATTTATTCAGCTTTCAGATGATGCATAAATCTCAATTGTGAGAAATAGACACTTATGACTAGTTTTGTGCTCCAGGGTCACATATGTCAGCTTCTCAAGTTATGCCTCTTGATTTTGCACTGAAACACAAGACGGAAATCCAGAGGAAGAAGATGAGATTTTAGGCCGTTCTGTAACCAGCTGTCCGTTGGCTCTGTGTGTGGCACAGGTGTGTTCTCGCTCGAGCAGAAGCAGCATGAGGAGGACAGATCTTACGGCAGCGAGGATCTGAATGAGCTGGAGGTGAACGGGAACTGGACCCCTCAGGAAAAGGCCCTGCACGAGGCCCGGCTGAAAGCTAAGGCTAAGCGGCGCCTGCGTAAGTCATCGTCCCGTGATTCCACCCGCGAATCTCTCTCGGACTCGGTGTCAGGAGAGCCGACTGCTGATCCACACAGCCCGAAGGGCAAAACTGCTGTAAATGACCGAAAGTCACGGACCGGAAAAGGCCGGGGACTGCCCAAAAAAGGTCAGATGTGTTTTTTTTTCAAATGTTCTAATTTTTATAGTAACTCGAGTTATTTGTGTGATGTGATGAATCATGATGTAGTTAGTTTTGCTGCAGAATCATCCTAAAATGTTTTCTTTTTTTATACTTTATTATGTCTTTCAATTCAAACATATTTAATACAATTATTATGCAAATTAAAATGTGACCCTGGAGCACAAAACCAGTTATAAGGGTAAATTTCTCGAAATTGAGATTTATGCATCATCTGAAAGCTGAATAAATAAGCTTTCCATTGATGTATGGTTTGTTAGGATAGGATAATATTTGGCCGAGATACAACTATTTGAAAATCTGGAATCTGAGGGTGCAAAAAAATCTAAATATTGAGAAAATCATCTTTAAAGTTGTTCAAATGAAGTTCTTAGCAATGCATATTACTAATCAAAAATTAAGTTTTGATATATTTACAGTAGGACATTTACTAAATATCTTCATGGGACATGATCTTTACTTAATATCCTAATGATTTTTGGCATAAAAGAAAAATCTATAATTTTGACCCATACAATGTATTGTTGGCTATTGCTACAAATATACCCCAGCGACTTAACACTGCTTTTGTGCTGCAGGCTCACATATCAGATGTAACAGTCACCTCTTCTGTTGGATAAATGCTTCTATCTCGAGGTCTTTCCTCTCTGTGTTTTGCCGTTGTCTGTCTTCACGGGTTGTTGTTGTGAGCAGGTGGAGCGGGAGGTAAAGGTGTGTGGGGAGCAGCGGGGATGGTGTATGAGGTGGAGGAACTCGACGCTAACGACCCTAACTATGATGAATCTGCACAAGTAAGAGCACACCTGCCGTCACATGAAGAATTCTAGTATACTTCAGTTTATGGTAAACAGTGTTTCCCACAGGCTTGCACTCTATTTGTGGCGGCATATATATGTAAACTCACATTTGCGAGTTATGAAGTCAGAATTGCCAGATATAAACTCACAATTCTGACTTTTTTCCCCCGGAATTGAGATATAAACTCACGATGGCGAGAAATAAAGTCCAGTTCCGAGGGACTGTCTTCTTACAGTTGCAACTTTTTATCCCACATTTCTGACTTTGTTCTCACAATTACGAGTTTCTATCACGCATTTCTGAGAAAAAAAGTCAGAATTGCAAGATGTAAACCCACAGTTGCAAGAAAAAGAAAAAAAAAAGAATTGTGAGATAAAAAGTCGCAATTACCACCTTTTTAAAAAATTTTATTCAGTGGTAGAAATAAGCTTCCACAAATATCCAATTATTATTATTTAACTTGCACTGGAAAGGTTTCCGCGACATCTCGAAAGATCTCGACAAAAAGTCTCACGATTTATTTTCAGAACATGATGCATGATGGGATACACTTGGCCTGGAATGTGGATTTAGTGCGCGCTTACTTCCTGTTCCTGTAGTATGTGTGGGTTATAAATGAAAAGCGTCACAGTGTTTGCAACAGTTCTCTGATTTCCGTGAAATCAAATTAAATAAGCAAATGAAAGTATAAAAGCTATATAATGCACATGCATGTGTGTATATATAGAGCTCATGTTTTCAGCTACCAAATCAAATATAGTGACATGTCAATAATTGATTCCTGCATCATGTCATCGTGACGTTGATGTTTGCAATGGCATGAGGGTGAGTAAATAATGACAGGATTTTTATTTTTGAGTGAACTGTTGCTTTAAGAATCGGCTGGCCGTTTTCAGATAGTCAGAGCTGAAAGTGGTTCTGGCAACCCTGCTGTTTGAATGTTGCAGTGATGTTAGTATGTACTTGTTGTCCCCTTATTTTTTCCTCACGTACAGTAAAGGTATTTCTCCCAGTGTGAGACTTTCGTTTGTGTTTCAGGGAGACACGGTGTATGCCACGGTAGTGCCAGAGCTGGACGAGAGGGAGCTCGAGAAGACCATCAACCCCATAGTGCAGGAGTACTTTGAGCACGGAGACACTAAAGAAGTGGAGGTGAGCTGCAGCTGATGAGCGACGATAAACAACAGAGCCTTAGTCTCAGAGTAATGTAGAGGAGAAGATGCTGAGACTAAACATTCACCGTATACCATTAGAGTAGTGCTTCTCAACCAGAAACACAGCTTTAGAGTCAACTCTAAATCAAGTTCTTAATTTAATTCACCATCTTAAGATCCAGGGTTGAGCTCGGATAAATGAGGATGCCTAATTTTAACAGTGATTTCCCGTTTGTAACACTGACTAAACAAAAATGTGATTGTGACTTTTTTTATCTTGCAGTTCTGACTTTTTGCAAGATATGCAAACTCGCGATTGTAAGTTATAAAGTGAGAATTGAGATATAAACTCGCAGTTGCAAGAAAAAAGTCAAAGTTGTGCGTTTTTATCCCGCAATTCTGGTTTTATAACATGCGGCTGCGAGTTTATATGTCGCAAATCTGAGAAAAAGGTCAGAATTGCGAGGTATAAACTCAAATTGTGAGAAAAGAAGCCAGAATTGGGAGATATAAAGGCACAGTGTAAACTCACAATTCTGACACTTTTTCCAGAATTGAGATATAAACTCACGATTGCGAGAAATAAGAACTGTCTTCTTACAGTTGCAACTTTTTATCCCACATTTCTGACTTTTTTTCTCACAATTACAAGTTTCTATCACGCATTTCTGAGAAAAAAAGTCAGAATTGCAAGATGTAAACCCACAGTTGCAAGAAAATAAAAAAAGAATTGGGAGATATAAAGGCACAGTGACCTTTTTTTATTTTTATTCAGTGGTGAAAACCGGCTTCCATAATTTCTAGAGTGGAACAAGACATATTTTTTTATTATTACATTTTGTAGTTATGCCCATCTCTGTTTTATCAGGTAGAAATTGGGGATAAAAATAACAACTGGAAAACAATCATGCAAGTTAATAGGTTTAAAAGGAGAATTCACATCCCAGCTGTCTTCCAGAGTTGAACTTTTGATCAGTTTTTTTCTCTTTGATCTGGTAGATGCTGCTCAAAGAGCTGAACTTGGGTCATCACAAGTATGAGTTCTCGTCTCTGGCTGTGTCTCTGTCTCTGGAAGGCAAGGCCAGCCACAGGGAGCTCACATCTCGTCTGCTCTCGGACCTGTCTGGAAAGGTGCTCTCGGAGAGCGACATGTCTCGTGCGTTCGACAAAATGCTGAAAGAGCTGCCAGACCTGATCCTGGACACACCGGAGGCCCCACAGGTACAGCAGAAATATCTCAAACTAATGAAGTCCATGACACAAGAATCAGCACTCTGCCTGTATGACTGTGGAACATAAGAGCACTAAAAAGCCTAGCCTTTCTTTTAAATTGAATGAAAGTGTGTGTGTACACTACTAAGATTTTTAATGTTCTGTTCACCAAGCCTGCATTTTATTTGATCAGAAATACAGCAAAAGCAGTAATATTGTGAAATATTTTTACTATTTAAAATAGCTGCTTTCTATTTGAATATATTTTAAACTGTAATTTATTTCTGTGATGCGCAGCTGTATTTTCAGCATCATTACTCCAGTCTTCAGTGTCACATGATCTTCAGAAATCATTCTAATATACTGATTTGCTGCTCAAGAAACATTTCTGATTATTATCAATGTTGAAAACAGCTGAGTATAATTTTTTCAGGTTTCTTTGATGAATCAAAAGTTCAGAAGAACAGCATTTATCTGAAATATAAATCTTTTGCAACATTATAAATGCCTTTATCATTACTTTTGATCAATTTAAAGCATCCTTGCTGAATAAAAGTATTAATTTCTATAATTTCTTTCCTCCAAAAAAAATGATACTGACTCCAAGCTTTTGAATGGTAGAGTGTATAATGTTACAAAAGCTTTTTATTTCAGATAAATGCTGATCTTTGGATCTTTCTATTCATCAAAGAATCCTGAAAAAAAATTAACTCAACTGTTTTAAATATTGAAAATAATAATAATAATCAGGAATGTTTCTTGAGCAGCAAATCAGCATATTAGAATGATTTCTGAAGATCATGTGACACTGAAGACTGGAGTAATGATGCTGAAAATACAGCTGCGCATCATAGAAATAAATTACAGTTTAACAGATATTCACATAGAAAACAGTTATTTTCAATTTAAAAAATATTTCACAATATTACTGCTTTTGCTGTATTTCTGATCAAATAAATGCAAATCAAATGATTTGAATGCTAGAGCTAAATAATCATCATTTTTACCCTTCCAGTCAAATATTGCGTTGCAAACATCATTACTGGCTTTAACTTGTCAATGCTGGGAAATGACCATGGTTTAAGTGAGATGATGCACGGCTAGCTGTGCATTAAACGATTTTAATGCACTCGCTTTGCATCAGGTGGTTCTTTGCCTCCATGTCGTGCATTAAAATAATTTTAACACACAGCAAGCCGTGCATCATCCCTTACATCAAATGCATTCTCCATATTACATGCATCCTTTCCTCTCTTCAGATGCTCGGTCAGTTTATTGCACGAGCCATTGCTGACCACGCTATACCCATGAGCTTCCTCGACTGCTACAAAGGCAAAGTAGATTGTGACCATGCCAGGTGAGCTTGATGTGACTTTGACTGGATATTCGCCTGCAGTCTTAGTTGGTTTTTCAGTAAGGTACTGAAGTGGTGAAACGGTGCCGCCGTACACTGGCTCCTAGAATGAATATGCAGTTGGTTTTGTCTGATGTGTGAAAGCAGACGGAATGAGCTGCAGCTTTGTTTCTGTCTCGTCTTCTACTCTTCCCGCTGATGTGTTCGTGTTGTGTTGTGTTCGTTCCTGACGGTCAGAGCTGCGCTGGACCGAGCGTCGGTTCTGCTCTCCATGAAGAGGGAGATCATGCGGCTTGATAATGTGTGGGGAGTTGGTGGAGGCCAGAGGCCTGTCAAACATCTCATCAAAGAGGTAAGCTGGTCTCTCCATCAGTACTGCTACACAAAAAACATCTGTATTTTTTAAATTAAAGCAATAAGCCCCGTGAAGCCGTGGTTTACAGTGAATTTATAACAGCTAAAGGGCGTTGTTAGGCACGAGTTAGAATATAAACCCCCTTATCTGTTATAAATTCACTGTAAACCACGGCTACACGGGGCTTATTGCTTTTATAAAACGGTTATTCCATATACGTAGTAAGGTTTCACAAAATAAAACAGAGCAAATAAAGTGTAATGATATTAATAAAAACAGTATTCTTCCACCAAACAATGTAGCTCCTCAGAAACAGTTGTGGTTGCAACAAAGTGGTTGCCGAGCAACAGACAAACGTAAACAAAGGTGTATGTTACTTTGTAGAGTCATTTACAACAGCTTCGAACGCGGCTCAGCCAATCAGAATCAAGCACCGGAACTATCTGTTTTATAAATTTTATTAGATTGTTATATTTTGTTTAACCCTTGATATAAAGTTATAACAACATTAAAAATGTTATGTTGATAGATTACTGAATTAATTAACACTTGATGATAATGTGTTAAAACAAGTCTAAAAATACATGATCTACATGTTGAATTATCATTGAATAAAATGGAATAGGCTAATTATAGGTTTGTAAACATTCGGGATGCGCTCGTTGCAGAAAACACGGGAGAGATAGCCTTTACGGCTAGAGAAGAATAAAAGAAGAAACAACTCGTCATTCTCTCTTTTTCCCCTCGGCTCAGAATCATGAGTTTATATCCCACACTTCTGGCTTTTTTTCCTCAGAATTGACAAACGTGCAATTGTTGAGTTGAATCGAGTTATAAAGTCCGAACTAGGAGATATAAACTTGCATTTGCGAGAAAAAGCCAGAATTGTGAGATAAAACAGGTAAATGTTATGTAAAATGTTCTAGGTTTAAATAGTATTTCATGCTGTAACTGTAATACAATATGTCCACTATGAACAGCATGTGTGAATATTTTGTAGAGCTTTTGTTTAAATCAAATTTATGCTTTAAAAGTAGAGTAATCATAGCAGGTTTCATCCATAGTCTGTGCGTTTAAACGTCTGCGTTTAGCTTCAAATGGCGTCTTCGACGACAGTATTTTATAAAAATTGATTCTGACTGATTCTGACATCCAAAGGCACAACAATAGATTTTTTTCTCTTATTCCATGGATTTTACCCGTTTCCCTCCACTTGTTCCCAGTGTTTTTCTGCTACCACAACTAGTGACGTCTACTCTAAACTGGTCTGTAGAATTAGTAATGAAAGGGTTTTTTTTCATTCAAGTGTCATAATTAACATGCATAACCTAACCTAAGATTAACCTAATTTCCTTTGGTTATAAAGTAAAGTTTGAGGTAAATAATCATTCAGAAAGCTATATATATATATAGCGTTTTGTGCAAGACTTGCTGCCAAAATCGTGTTGCTCCAGTGCTTTCTGATTAGCGGTGCATCCACATGTTACGCTGCTGTTTGTTTCCAGATGAACCTGCTGCTGAAGGAGTACCTGGTGTCAGGTGTGCTCTCTGAGGCCGAGCGCTGTCTGCGAGATCTAGAAGTGCCACACTTTCATCACGAGCTCGTCTATGAGGTACGGAGTGGGAACAGTCAGCAGTTATTACATTATAAGTAAAACTATGAGAGATGAGAGAGAAATTCAAGCACTTTTCAATGACTTTCAACTATTTCCAGCACTTTTTTAAGCTCTAAAAAGATCCAGTTTAAATGTTATTTTTAATGGGATGACCAAAATATAATTTGTGGAAAACAAACACTTATTTAAAATTAAAAAAGACATCAATTTACCACTATAACCAGTAGATGGCAGTATTAGCTTATTAGTCATTAATTTCCACTTTTCTGCTTTATATTTTGATATTATCAAATCACTATTATACAATATCAAATCATCAAGAAATCAACTTTTGCATTTTTGTTTTTGCATATGAAGTAAGAAAAGTCACAAAAACACAAACGTTTCTTTTAATTTGCGACAGAATCACAGATAAAGTGCAGAGCGCTCCTTTTATAATCACTGAAGCTGTCGGTCAGTCCAGTATAATACTATAAAAGAATAATGGTGCATTTAATAAGAGTAGAATATAAAAAAATCTATACAAATGTATTTGTTGTTAATACATTTTGTATGCTTTGCCATTTTGCCGCTGTTTAATGTTGAGTGACAGATCGCTGTAGCGCCTCAGTGAACTGATCATCTCCTCCACTTTATTACTAGTTATAGCACAAAATAAACATGACTAAACATCCGAAGGCAAGTTAAAAGAAAGAGTACAACTTTACAATCCGTATCCTGTCTCATGTAATCGCTCAATCAGTGTTTCAGCCGCGCAAAGACGTCAATATAACGGATTTTAAACAATGACACGCAACGTCACATTTACCTCAGAAAAACATATTCGGTGAGCATAAACTCATTAGCCAGCTAGAAAAATAAACTGTAGAGAGGGGCATTTTGCTAAATATATGCACCATATAACATATTCATTATGCATTTTACTGTTCTTCAATGTTTAATTTATGTTTGAATAAATCCATCAAGTTTTTATGACAGCCACCATTGTTTATATTTAAAAAAAACGAAAGTCAATTTTAACCTTCAATATTATAGTAATGTAGCACCAAGTGACTCTCGTGTATATTTTGCAGCATTAGTTGAGAGATTTGTTTTCCTTGAGAAAATTTGGCATGTACTGTACCTGATATATATCCAAAATAATCCATATTGAATCGAATCGAATTGGTAATCGAATCGAATCGTGAAATTTGTGTCAAAACCCAGCCCTATATGCTTCCCAACTCAAGCTCTGCTTTACTGTCAAATGAATATTACTAAGAAATAAACATAATTTTATTAGTAACTGCACTTACTAATGCAAAACAATAGTCATTTATGATTAAATTAGCTTTATTTTTACCATCCATTTTCAACACAAAGCCCTGTGTTCTGTGATACATTTGTGTTGATGGGTCGCACAAGAACTTTCTCTCTGGTTTCCGGTCGTTTTCCTCATTTGTTTTTGTGGTTGGTGTAGGCTGTGGTCATGGTGCTGGAGTCCACAGGAGACGCAGCGTTACAGATGATGGTCAAACTGCTCAAGATCTTCTGGAAAACTGGCCTAATCACTCTGGACCAGATGAACAGGGTTTGTGCTCACTCTTTATTATGTACTTTGGTGAGTTGCGATGCAACAGAAGTAGAGACAGATCATTCCATCAGTGTTAAGAGTAAAGCATATAATCAAAAACGATGAAAGCTAGGGCAGGGACTTGATTGGGATTGATTGGTTTTTGGTTGGATGGAGTTTTGAAACGCTGTAGAGGAGTCTAAAAGCAACGAAGTCATGTAGTGAGGGAGAATATTTGATTTATGCATTCATTTCTTAATTTCCCATATTTGTAATGGTCTGGCTTCAAAGAATTGAAATGTAACTTTTTTTCTTCTTCTTTGGAAAATCAATGTAATACATTTTTGTTCAATAATATATTTTCTGTTTCATTTTGTATTTTGAGAGAATGTTGTGTTACCGATTAATATTTATGCAATAATTGTGATTCATTTTTCCCATTGGAAAATAATACCTTTTTTTTAAGAATTATTTTTAAATGAATGCCATGTTTCAGGTTAAAATAGAGACTAGCTGTGCACTTTTTTCTGCATCATGGCAGATTTGTAGATTGTAAATGGGTCAAAGACGTTATCCGCATCAAAAGAAATTTACAAAAGTGATTATATGTCCATAGAAAGCACATTAAATGCAAATAAAGTGTCTACATTTAAGGTTTAAAATATGTTTTTGAAGAATAAAATGTCAAAATTTGGTTGAAATATGTTCCATTGTAATTCAGCGTAACACTTATAGTTATGTAAAAATTCAAACAACATGCTTATTCTGACCGGTACATATAAAAGAATAAGCAAGCATATTACATTTTATTGGGTTTTAAATGAGTAAAAAATGATTATTGACAAATGGGCAAAACCTAGGATAGTGGCAAATTTAAAAAATTTAAAATAACAACTAATTAGTATTTGGGGTGAAAGTAATTAGTCTTTTAATATGTCATAAATTGATTTTTGTTGTAAATATGCCTGACAAGTTTGTTACACTGAATGACATTTTAGTGGGTGTCTTCTGTAAATCAGGGGAAAATGTATGATATTTATTTTTTGCTCAGAAAAACAAAAATACAATTACATAAATTTTTACATTTTTTTTTTTTTTGTAAAAACAACAATTTAAAGCAGTATTGTTTTTATGCTTAAACCCTTTTTCGTCTTTGACCCACATGCATTTTTTTTTTTTTTTTTGCATTTTCCCCCCCATTTCCATTCATCTCCTATGCCGAAGACCACAGATGTGTTTATTTTTTTAGCCTTTTCGAATCATGCCCTCATCTTTTGCTTGTGTTCATGCACCAAACGGCATAAAAGTCACCAAGCTTCGTACTGTTCCGATGAAGCTACGATTTTTAAAATGTCAAAAGTGACCAAAGAAGCCCAGAGGTTTACAGGGCTTGTGTGTTTTACACAGGGCTTCCAGCGTGTTTATGACGAGCTGCCGGAGATCAGCCTGGATGTGCCTCATGCGCACTCCATTATGGAAACCTTTGTGGACCTTTGTTACCAGGAGCAGGTCATCACGAAGCAGCTGAGAGACTCCTGTCCAACCCGGTCAGAGAACGTGAAGACTAGAGGATATTCACTTTGAATGGTAATGCACTAGCGGTTTAACAGATGCACTCTTGTGGCCAACAGGGGGCGCAAGCGCTTTGTGAGTGAAGGCGACGGAGGGCTCGTGAAGAGCTAGACGGATCTGGAATCTGTTCTGACTGTCCTCATCCTCCGAGAAAACAAGATCATCATGCAGAAGAGCAACAACTGAGAAATGCTGTTCTCTCCTCTGTTGCAGGCTTTGTTTTCTAATTGTTTGTGAATTTATGCATGCAGCGTGAGCGCTGCGGCGAAGGAAAGAAATCAGCAGCTTCCGATGGCCATGCAATACAGTTTGGGTTGAGGGATTAACATTGCATTATGTTTCCAGCTTCAGTTGTTGATGTTCACAGGTGTTCACTAGTTAGTGTTCACGGTGGTCTCTCAATGCATTTTTTTTTTTTGGCATGCAATGCATAAAATATGAGCACCTAACGGAAGGTATTAAATATTGAATGAAGTGCTTAGTCAAACTCTTGGGCTGAAATACAACATTTGATGGGGTCACGTCTATTGGTTTTCATTTTATTGCATGCTTATCTTTAAATTTGTCTTCTTGTTGCATATAGAAAACATACCCACGTTTACAGATTTGCACGTTTCTTGCAGATTCTGCTTGTTTGGTTCTCGGTGCTTATTCCTGATTTATGTCTATAATGAATGACAAGTGCTTCTGGCTAGTTTTGACATCAAGAAGGGCTTTTGTGTGTTTCAGCAGCCAAAGAATGGAGGAGAGAGCCTCTCAGAAACCGTAAACTGGAAGGAAAGGACTAATTTAACCAACAGGGCTTTTGTACATGCGCTCGGTCTTTCTATGTTAGTTTATGGGACACTTTTTCAAAGCAGAAACATATTTTTGTCAACCAGCCGTTCCAGCATTTGACACTAAAATTCAATAAAAATTCATATTGCTCATATTCACGTTCCTGTGTGCGTTTATTTACACATTTGTTCTTGATATAGAGACTTGTGTAAGACCTTGACCTCGAAGGAAAAGCAAAAATTAGCCTCTTTGCAAAATGTTGAAATGCAGTACTGTTTTGAAAGTATATCCACAAGACTTAATAATAGTTGTAACGTGAATCTGTTTTATTAACTAACAAAAGTTTTGGGGTCGGTAAGATATTTTAATGCTTTGAAAAATGTCTCTTAATCTCACTATAGGTCCTACTATAAATAGTAATATTGCTAAATATTTTGACACTTTAAAATAATAGTTTGCTTTATTTCTTTAGTGCAGGTGAAGCTGAATAATATCCTGATTTAGTGCTCAAGGATCATGTCTTATTACTAAGAAATTTCCATCATATTTTTAGTGTAATATTTTGTATTTTGAGAGGATTTCCCGGTACTAAACAATATTTACCTCTAAATTATCAATCACTTATTTCCATTTAATATAATACAAATAATATAAAAAAAACATTTATACTATGTTTCAACTAATGCAGTGTTTGTTAAAAATAGACATTTAATGAATAGAGGCACAATTCATTAAAGACACAATTCTCCACTAAATTCCACAACAGCATCAAAAGAAATCAAATTAGAAATGAGTTATTAGCCGTTTTACATCCGATCACATTATTGATGTTAACAAATAAATCAGACAATGCACCAGAAATGAAAATAAAATCCCGAGCTTCAAAAAATGAATCTTTTGATTATCCATGCATCTTTTTTTTGCATCTTAAACAGTGCGTATCAAATCACGATTTCGAGGAATCTTCATTGTATTGCATTCTATGTTTCCTCCAGAGCTTTGATCATAAAACTATGCATTATATATCATCTTACAGACATATTATTGGGAGATATAGATTTTTATATGCATTTTAAGTAGTCTGCCATGTTATAAAGATCTCAATGATTTGCTTCGCAATCAGAATTTCATCTTACTTTCTAACCATATAAATATCCACAACTGCACCATATTTGTGTTTAGGTTTGGGCCTGATGTGTTTTGTTCTCTTCATCCAGTATAAGCTCGATATGCAAACTTCTCTTTTTTTTTTAAAGCAGAAACTCGGTCCTGCAGAGTTTAGCTCCAGCTTTCCTCAACACACCTGTGTGGAAGCGTCTGGTATGCCTAGTAACTAAGAGCTTGATTAGCTGGTTCAGGTGTGTCTGATTAGGGTTGGACGCATGTCTTAATCTGGTTCACGCAGAGAAAGCGGATCTGAGCCGTTGTTCGCGCTGTTGGCCGCTGGGTGGCAGCAGCAGCAGCAGCAGCAGACCATGTTCGCCTAAACGCATCAGAAGACGAAGAAGACGGTGTTTACGTCTGTTTTATTTTATCCTTTGCGTCGTTTTTCTGGATCCACTTTCGCAGGTATCGCTCCTAAATTCACGGATTTTCAATTGAAAATGTCTTACATTATGTACCTTTCAGACTGATCTGGTGTAATTACACATATTTTATAAGGCTGTTTTTAAGTATTGTAGCCTACATCCCTCTGGTTTGTGAGATGCTAAAGCTAACACTGTTTACTTATCAGAGATTTGTGTATTATTGTGTTTATTCTTAACTCTGACTCGGTTAGTTTACTCTCAGTGATATTCTAAATCATGTCAGGAATGAAGAATACTTTTCCAGCTGACCAATATATATATATTTGCATAAACATAGTCATTATGTTAAGACTACCGTAAGAACTAGTTTGCGTAACTAAGCAAGTAACGTTAGTAATCAGTACTTTTCAGATTCAGATTAAACCAGTCTAACGTTAGGTTTTTACACACGCTGCTGTTCAAAAGTTTGGGATCAGTAAGATTTGTAATGTGTTTTAAAGAAGACTCTTCTGCTATTCAAGGCTGCATTTATTTGATCAGCCAATATAGATGTATTTGCATAAACATAGTCATTATGTTAAGACTACCGTAAGAACTAGTTTGCGTAACTAAGCAAGTAACGTTAGTAATCAGTACTTTTCAGATTCAGATTAAACCAGTCTAACGTTAGGTTTTTACACACGCTGCTGTTCAAAAGTTTGGGATCAGTAAGATTTGTAATGTGTTTTAAAGAAGACTCCTCTGCTATTCAAGGCTGCATTTATTTAATCAAAAATACAGAAAAAAGCAGTAATATTGTGAAATATTTTTACCATTTAAAATAATGGTTTTCTATTTTAATATACATTAAACTGTAATTTATTTCTGTGATCAAAGCTGTATTTTCAGCATCATTACTGCAGTCTTCAGTGTCACATGATCTTCAGAAATCATTCTAATATGCTGATTTATTATCAATTATCAATGTTGGAAACAATTATCAATGTTTTTGCTGCTTAATATTTTTTTTGGAACCGGTGATACTTTTTTTCAGGATTCTTTGAGGAATAAAAAGTTAAAAAGAACAGAATTTATTCAAAATAGAAATATTTTGTAACAATATACACTACTGTTCAAAAGTTTGGGGTCAGTAATTTAAAAAAAAAATTTTTTTTTTTGAAAGAAATGAATGCTTTTATTCAGCACGGACGTGTTAAATTGATAAAGTGATCATAGAGACTTATATTGTTAGAAAGGATTTTCTTTCTAACTGTTTAATGCTGTTCTTGAAATAATCATAAAAAAGTATCACAGGTTCCAGAAAATGAATATGAAATATGAAGCAGCAAAAACCAATGTTTCCAACATTGATAATAAATCAGCATATTAGAATGATTTGATCTGAAGGATCGTGTGACACTGACGACTGATGCTGAAAATTCAGCTTTGCATCACAGAAATAAATTACATTTTAAAGTATATTAAAACAGAAAGCCATTATTTTAAATTACAATAATATTTCACAATATTACAGTTATTTTTTTTCTGTATTTATGGTCAAATAAATGCAGCCTTGAAGAGACTTAATTAAAACACATTACAAATCTCACTGATCTCAGACTTTTGAACAGACTTTAACAGTTATGACTAGTCTTGCAGAAAAAATTAGATCACCAATTTTTAAGACTATTCTACGCGGTTTATGCAACCGGCTCCTGGAAATGAGATCCTTCAGTATTTTAAAGCTTGTATTTGTTCCTTCTCTTGGTTTTAGTCTCGTGGCCATCTCTTCTTGGCCTCTCTCTTCTTTAGCAGAGATTGAGTTAAAGATGAACAACCCAGTCTACTTTACCAGAGCCAAAGAAGAGGAGAAGCGCTGGATAGAGAGAAAGAGAGAAGACAGACGGACAATTAATGGAGAGGAGGCCAGAGACTTTTACCAAAGCCTGCTGCAAGAGACCGATGGAGAAAAGCCAAAAGAAGCAGCAGCAGCCGCGAGGAGAGCGAGACGAGGAGCAGGTAGAGATGGAAAACATAAGCAGATTGAGAATTATGATCGCAGCACACGACTGCTAGAGGAAATAAAATTAATAAATACATGATCCAATCTGTGAAATTTGTTTTTTTTTACTTTTAGATACATGTATAAATAAAGATCATGTTTAAAAATATAAAAAAAAAATATGAATAAATAATTTTAAAAAATTTAAAATGTATAAATGAATAAAGATTCTACCAAATCATAAAGAACATAACATTTAACTATAATATTTAAAAAAGTATGTTAGTATCTAGGCATGTTTTTTGGGTTTTCTATGTCTTTTGTTCTATTCTTATGCTACTGTGCCACTGCACTCGCCAAGGAATTGTTTGTAATAATTCATTTAAAATGCATAAAAATGAAGTTTAAGTGAATAAATAAAATGATACAAATTTTTAATTATTTAAAGAGTGAAACTTTAGATCAAAAGGTTTTTGATCTAAATAAATATCAGATATTAATATCACAATTATCATTTTAAGATTAGAGTATGATGGAAAAGGAAGCAGCACTGCCAGGGTTAATTCATCTAGAGACGTTTGACTTAATAATTGACATAATATCAGGTCCACATCAGTAGTGATTGTCAATTGAAACAATGGTGTAATGAAAAAAAGATTAAGTACTTCCCCAGTTGACTGATTATTACATCATGAATTGCAAAATCTGTTTGTATTACGAGATTTCTGAAATGTTATATTTAAACATGCAAATGCATAATAAACATAAATGCACACATTTGCATACATTTTTAGAACAAAAATCCGAATGTTGGATAAAGCCAGGCTCAACAGCCAAAAAATAAAAATAAATAAATAAAATAAAAAATTCACCATTTTTTTTTTTCAGGAATAAAATGTAACAAATCATGCAAATTAAATATGAACATTAGATATGCACTGAAAAAAAATGTTTCATTCATCCAATTAAAAAAATTTAGGGTAATGATTCACATCTATATTTTTTAACTTGAGCCAATGAAAAATAAATAACTTGCCCTAAGGGAAACATTTTTTTCAGTGTGTGTTATATTTGAAATATATTGAATATGACTTGATGAAAAGCCATTAAAGCCCAAAAAAGTTTCCAGATGCATTAAAAAAACTGTTTTGCCTGTAGTGTCTCGCCTTAAAAATCAACAACAATACAAAACATTAAAGCAGATACGGATGTGTTGCCAGGGTTTAGATTTTTCCTAACTGTGTTTAGCAACATTTTACATGCATGTCTTAAAAGCACAGCTGCAAAAAACAAAACATCATGACATGCTTCATTATAACCGTTAGAACATCTAAAAATGAAATCAAACCTGTATGAATTTCTCTATTCTGCTGAACGCAATATAAGCTATTTTGAAGAATGTTGGTAAACATACAATGAAATCATGACAGAATTGTCATTTTTGGATGGACTACTCCTTTAAAAGTATTTGAGATTTGGCTACAGGTGTATTTGTTTAAATTATGTTCCAAAGAATGATTCCACAAATAAATAGCATTGAAATTGGTCTTTGCATGTATTTACACAGTTAAATAGAGTGTTGCATCAGTCTGTCATCTATACAGTATGTGTGCACTTCAAAACATTATTTAAAAACCTCACGAGTAAACGACAGTAGTAGTGTATATACAGTATGAGTATTCTTCTTTAATCTTAGCATTTGCATTCCTTCAGAGATTAGTTTATAATAACTGTACAGTTTTATCATGATCGCCCGTTATCTTTTGACACGAGGACCCAAACGAAGAAGAAGAGAAGCTGCTCGTGCCGAAGCGGTCAGCAGCTCCGAGCGAGACGGACACAGACTCCTCCGATGCGCTCAGGAGGGAGACATTCAGGCCCTGAAGGAGCTCCTGCGGCGAGGCTGTGACGTCAACTTCCGTGATGATTTCTACTGGACGGGTGTGATGTGTGCGAGTAAAGCAGGACAGACGGAGGCTGTTCGGTTGCTCCTGCGTCACGGAGCTGCTTGGGTGGGAGTGGTGGACAAACAGGTGCGTAACACTCACTTCTGAGAGGATCTCTCCACCTCCTCCTTTATATGGAGTAGAGCAGTGCAGATTTCCCATTGGCTGCTGCTTTGTCAGTATGGTTGGTTGATTGAGTTAAAGTCTTGTACTGTTGGTCATGCAGTCTTAACTGAAGTAAAGTAACTAAAGTAACTTCCCACCACCATTCATTCCTGCGGACTGAACTTACTCCCTTAGTTGTATTGCATCAAAACCACTGGGCTTGCATGTGTGCATTATTACTAATAATAAAAATAATACTTCTGTCCAATTAAAAAAAAAAAAAATTTTAAAGGTATAACAAATTTGCATATATTAAGCTTATAAAAGACATACAAAAAGATTTGAACAGAAGTAATTCAGGGAGTTAAGAAACCAAATATATAGTAAAGATGCAGAATATAGTCTTGGGTAAAGGACCTATGCTGCTTAATAAAGATGAGTTATATTTGTTTAGAATTTTGAGAACGTGAAGCCGTGGTTTACAGTGAATTTATAACAGCTAAGGGGCGTTGTTAGGCACGACCATAGATTGTATAAAAACATAGACGTAGTGTCCGTGACGTCACCCATAGGTTTCTGAAGAGCGTTTTTGAAGCCTAAAGTAGGCGGAGCTGGCCGTCACCATCTTGGCAGCGCGTCACTCCCCGGATAATCGAAAAATGGTGGAGTCTATGGGACTGACTCTCTTTTGGAGCCAGCCTCTAGCGGCCTGTCGATGAATTGCAGTTTAAGTCACTTCCGTGTTGGTTTCACGAGTGAGACCGGAAGGTTGCTGCTTGGGCACGACGCAAAGCTTCTTGGGGCTTATTGCTTTATTACAGCATTTAAAGCAATAACAACATTTTGGAGAAGGCAAGAATCCACTGTACATTCTATGGAGATTATAATGTATGAAAAGATATTGAATATGAATAGTAAGGTGTATTAAATAATAATAATAATAATAATAATAGAAAAAATAGAAAAACTAAACGTTTTTGTCTGTTTTGTGCTAATATAATTATTGTTATAGTTTTTGGCATGTGCTTTTGTCATTATTTTTATATATAATTTCTATTTAGGTTAATTTCAGTTTTAGTATAAGTTCAGTTTTAGTTTCTATTTATATCCAATTAATATATTTTGTTATTTCAGCTTTATTTCCATTGGCAAAAATATTTTTTAACAGTTTTGGCTAGCGATACTAACCCTGCCTGTGCCACCGAACAGATGTCAAAAAGAGAAAATGTGAACATATAACACAAGGGCAGTGAAGTAATCATTGTTATACATAACCATTACTTTAAATGAGTCATATATCTTTAAACTGAAATAATTATCCAACTGATAGGCCTCATGGAAAGCGCTCCTGTTACCTAAGCGCACAGTCCTGTCGAAACACTATTGCTGTATTAGGTTGTTATTCTTTAGTAATTTCCTTTCTTTTTATCTCCATCCTGTTTTCTTTCTGGTTCTCTCTCAGGGCAGAGATGCCCGGGATCTGGCCCTGCAGGCTGGTCACCAGGATGTAGTGAGAGAACTGGAGCAGTTTGTGATCTCTGACACGCCAAACATACCTACTACAAACCATGCACAGAGGTTAGTGGTTTATGCTTCACTTGGTGTCCAGATGTCCAAACACTTACGCATTAAAGGAACAGTTGCTGAAAATGTGCTCCCCATCAGGCCATCCAAGATTGAGATGAGTTTGTTTCTTCATCAGGTTTGTAGAAATGTAGCATTGCATCAGTGTCTCAGCAATGGATGCTCTGCAGTGAATGGGTGCCGTCAGAATGAGAGTCCAAACAGCTGATAAAAACATCACAATAATCCACAAGTAATCCACAGCACTCCAGTCCATCAGTTAACATCTGGAGAAGACAAAAGCTGAAACTAATCCAGCATTGAGATGGTTTTAACTAAAATACCATAGAGTCCATAATCCATAATAACGCTTCCTCCAGTGAAAAAGTGCATCTGCTGTTGTCTCTCACATCAAAATCCAGCCACATATTAGTTTAGAGCTGTTTAAACGCTGCTTGATCTGTGCAGATTTCTCTCCTGATTCAGACCAGAACACTTTTTCACTGGAGGAAGCGTTATTATGGATTATGGAGCAACAGTTTGAAGTTAAAAACATCTTAATGATGGGTGAACCAATCCTTTAGAGAGATAGTTCACCCAAAAATGTTAAATTTGTTCCAAGATGTAGGTGACTCTTTTTTCTTCAGTAGAACCGTAAAGAAGATTTTTTTTTAGCTGAAACCGTGGGCCTTGGTGAGTCAGCGGCTGCCTGTCTTTGAGAATAAAAAAGCATATGAAGGATCACAAAATTAATACGATTTATATTGAGGTCTTATGAAGCGAAACGATCGGCCTGTGCAAGAAACTGATCATTATTTACTTAATTACAATCCACATCTCTCAGTATTGCGGTGCTTTTGATCTGAGTGTATTTTCCCAGGTTGAGCATCCTGTCAAATAGGCATATTAAAAGATCTCACTAAAATGCTGTTTCGTCTAATACGTGTAATTTGAACAGCTCTGAGAATGACGATGTGTGTCTGCGTGTGTTTCCACAGTGCTGGTTCTCAGTGGTGTGATGTGTGTGCCGTGCATTACACAGACAGCACTGAAACACACTCCAGATCCACGCTGCATCAGTTCAGTAAGCTCCGCCCCCCGGCCACGCCTCAATACTGCCTGCCCTCCTCCAGCACCAGCTATAAAATGATGCTCCGCTTGGGCTGGAACCCCTCCTCTGGTCTGGGCCCCGCCCACTCGGGCCGCAAAAACCCAGTCAGCACGATACTAAAGAGAGATCAGGCGGGCCTGGGATACGGAGAGCCCCCGCAGCCCAAAGTCACACACTTCCAGGCCAGAGATCCTCAGGCAGTGCAACACATGCATAAAGAGAAAAGACTGAGACAGGAGAAAGGAACGACGCTCAGCGCTAAAGAACTTAAGAGGAAAGAAGAGCGAGACCAGAAATGGGAAAGAGACTACCGTGCTTCATTTAACTTTGACTTCTGATCTGATGTGCTTTAGTGCAGAGACTTTTCATTTTTCAGTACAATTCATTTGAAATGCGTTGCTTTGACAGTAACACATTTTATCATCAAGTCATTAAAGACTGCTGGAACAGTATGAAAGTAGACATTTTATATGGAAGACAAAACAACTGTAAACAGGGACTGGATGAAACATTATTTAAAAAAAAAAAAAAAAAAAGCTGTCAGTGGGTTGTGATTATATAATTAGATTAGAAAACATGATTAAATTCTGTTTTTTGTTTTTTTTGTGTCATTTAATGTCATCAGTCTCAATTTTTCATGCATTTGGATACATATTGAATATTTGTGACCCTGGAGGACTTAACACTGCTTTTGTGCTCCAGGGTCACATATATTTATACCATGGTCGGTTTCAATTCTTGATTCTGATTGGCTGGCAGGTATGCATTAAAACTGTGTAATGCACAGGTAGTTCCAAGTCAGTTTAATCTCTGTTCTATATTAATATTTTGCTATAGACACACACACACACACACACACAGATTTTGGATATTATTGCACACATGCAGAAACATGTCAGCGCTGCCCCGCGACTTTTATAAAATAACTTGGATACTAGATCACTGCATTATATTGGGGTAAAATCGCTGGTTTTGAAGTAACTAAACTCACTGCTTCATTGAGAGAGAGAGACGCGCAGACGCAGGTCAACCGTCATTTTTACCATTCCGGTTAAATATTGCGCTGCAAACATCATTACTGGCTTTAACTTGTCAGTGCTGGCAAATGACCATGGTATAAGCGTGATGATGCACGGCTAGCTGTGCATTAAACTATTTTAATACTTCATGTCAGGTGATTCTTTACTTCCACTTCGTGCATTAAAATCGTTTAATGCACAGCTAGCCATGCATTATCCCTTACATGTCAATTGATTAAAAAAAGAATTAAGCACTAAAGAAAACGCTTAAGAAAAAAATCCAAACTTCAGGAGTTTCTGTTTGAGTACACGGTAAAAAAACACCCAACTGTTGCTTGCGTTGTTCTTAAAATTCTAGCAAATTCATTAATTCTTAGAGAAAACAAAAGGAAAATTGGGAACTAAGCTGTGACCGTTGATCTGTTCTGAGTGAGAGTTCATCTAACCTTACGAGGATCTCATGAATGGAAGTGAAGAGCATAAAGTCTAATGTGACCAAACCTTCACAACCTCTGCTTAATTTCATTACACTAACTATTCTCCTTCTGCCTGAAGCAGAACAAAATCTGGTTTAGATGAAACCTCCTCAAAACGAAACCAAAACTGATGACATTTTTCAAGCCACATCATCAAACCCTCAAGAATCTCGAGAGACTTGTTTTTACGCTGATGCATTTTAGTTTCTCTTCACTCTCAAGCACTCTATATTTAAAGCTATAATCAGACATTACTGCAAAAGAAGTTCAGCTTTTGTTGGATTTGTTGAGTGTATTTTACAGTTGCATTTTTGTAAATGTACAGATAACAACAACATCTTTATGAAGTTTAATAATCATTGCATTATGATATTCCATGAAGATATCCCAATGTTTGTTTGTATCGGATGTTTTCCACAGGAGCTGTAGTCTCTTCTGACTTCTGTGGCGTCCCTAGAAATCCATTTACTCAGGCATCCAAAAGGCTCTGAAATATGCAGTATTAACATTAGTAATATCTGTATATTAGTCACATCTCTCGTGACTTAATCCAAATGAAAGCATGTTTGACACATTGTGATTTTATAGTAATAAACATGGATTAAAGTTTTTCAACCGTGAGAGCAATTAAGAAAACAGCCCTTTGTTAGGGAATGTTTAAAAAAAATATATATATATGTTTTTCTAAATGTTACTTGCCTCACAAGTTGATCCCAAAATTGATCCCAGACATTCGCAGCAGAATGAAAAACAATCACAGAATCCAGAACACACAGGCTCACAAAATTCAGAACAATCACATCCAGAACAATCACAGAATCCAGGACAATCACAGCATCCAGAAAAATCACATCCAGGACAATCACAGGTTTGGAAACAATCACAGCATTCATAACTGCATAAACAAAAACCCAAATCTGTACGTGTTTGCTCCACATTATTCTGATCTTTCTTCAGTTTGACCTGTTCTTCATGTGTAGGACTGTTGCTCTGCTCACATTCCTCCATAGCTTAATGTCTAGTAAGTTTTAGTGATGGGTTTGAATCACGGCACTGGTTTGTGAATGTTTTCAAATCCTAAAACCGTCTTCAGCTTGGCTGTACTCTGCTTCGCTTTTAGACCATAGACTGTATGTTTTAGACACGCACTCACAAACTTCTCTAAGCACTTCCCCTCGCGGGAATCCCCTCTGCCATATCGAAACAAGTTAACTTCGAGAAGTGCAACTTTGACCGAGTCTGCTTCATGTGTGCTAGTGATGATGTCACACATGATACTGAAGATTCCAAGCGCGTTTGGAGCACGTGCGCAATTTCTCATGAAGCTCTATGGGATGCCAAACATGCCAAAAGCGTTACTGTGCGTTCACACCGCCGCCGTCGAGAGCTTCAAAAATCGCTCTGGCCGCCCTGCCAACAACGCTGTAGAAAGATTCGTGGACGCTCTGACGTAGATCGAATGCTTATCTTGTATTTAAAGGGGACGCAAAGCAAACACGCTTGTTGATCTTGTGCAGACTGACCACAAGCAGGGTAAGGTTATACGTTAACCTCATTAAATATTGTTGTGGACGAAGTATTAAGATACTTTACCTCATAATATATAAAGCACTAATACCACACTGTAAAAATACTCTGATACACGTAAAAGTCCTGCATTGAAAATGTTACTTAAGTAAGTATAATCAAGTATAAACATTACTTCATGTAAGTATAATCAGGAAAATTGATTTAAAGGTTTAAAAGTGAACTGGGACTATTATACTATTATTTATTATATCATTAGATTATTATTCCTATAACGTTAATGCACATCAGCAACTCACCAGGAACACCAACAATCTCAGACACCTTGGTCCACGCATCATTTTTTATTTATGTCCCTGTACGCAAACAGGGACACGTCGTAGATTATTGGGAAACCCGCCACAGCAATAATCAACCTCTCCTCCATTTTGCTTGGGAACTAATGTGGTCGTAACCAAAGTTTGCAGGACTGCGTTCTCTGGAATCCTCTCAAGCGTTGGACTTCTATGTTCCGATTGGTTGCCGCCAGATGCCGCCAAACCGCGTCATAGCCCATTACCATAAAGTTGACCTGATTTCAACTCTCCTCGACGCCCTCAACGTCCAAGTCGCGCCGCTGCTCGCCGCCAGCTCACATTGAAAATGAATGACTTCCGGCCACTTTGACGCTCTCAATGGCGGCGGTGTGAACGCACAGTTACAGTTCATTCACACGAGGCGTCTGCGTCTTGGTGCTGACGCAACTGTCATAGTGACGATAGCCAATCATATCACTTTTCCGGTGATCCATGAACGCAACTGGCTAGCATCTGCGCTAGGGTATTTACATAGGCAATCTGATTGGTTGACACCTGCGTTGGCGCTTGAAAAGTTGAAAAATTTTCAAGCAAAGCCAGTGATGTGATGCAACAGACCCACAATTCAGTTTGGCAATGCATGATGTCACCCATTCAAAGTAGGCTAAATGAGAAGCGTTTGTGAATGCACCGTTTCAGAGCTCGAGCTGTGCTGATCTGTCAAAGGCCGACTCGACATCGCAGGGAGAATGTGTTTGCTAGCTCCACCGAACGGATGGCGCATGTGTTTTTCCCTGCACATAAGATAATGAAGATCAGTATTAAGTTGTTACATTTCTTTTTCTTATTATCCTTTGTATTACTACATGTAAACAGCAAGACTGCCAACTCTCATGCATTTAGTGTGAGACTCACGCAATACCGTTCTCATGATCTCACACCACACATCTATTTTCTCACGCAGTCAAAGTCAACCTCAGTTAAAACTGTAATATTAGGATATTTGCGAAACAGAGTTTGGTAAAGGCTCCAGTGCGTATTTGTGTTTGCGCTCTGGAAAGCCTCAAAAGTTTCTATTTACAACGTATTTTTGTAGCATTGAGCAAGGTAGCCAATCACAGACATATCTGTTGATTTCTTGAACACCTGATCGGCCATTGCGTTCAAGTTAGTCAGAATTCACTCACCTATAAATGCCGGATTTAAATAAATGCGAGATTCACTTTTGAAATTGCAGTGATTGACTTACTGTAGTGATAAGCAATCGACCAAAGAAAAATATAATTTGTCAAAACTGGTGTGTATTACGCAGTGTAAATGCAGACTAACTAATAGATTAATTGAAAAATATTTGAATTTTCATATCAAAATATTTTTGAAATGCAGTTGAAATTATTTGCAAAATTAATGACTTGTAAATCTTACTACTTCTTCTCTCGGTATGCATTGCTATTCTTGTAGTGGTGAAACGTTTTAATTTTGAAGGAAAATATTAGGATATCTGATCCAAGCTCTTCATCCAAGCTCTGAGTGCACGAGTCATTAAATAATGCATTTTTGAGCTTGATAGCCACGGGTAAAAATTATACTAAACATAATATGTGAACCCATCTCAAGGACAAACAATTCCAAATTCAGCCCTCCAAAAATAAAGAAGGTTCAATTTAAGATCTTTTCATTTCAAGACTCAGTAAATAATATGTAATTTTGTAGTGCCTGAGACAGATCAGACACGCAATTATTTGTTGTATTTAATAAATAATCCACAATAGAGCTCACCCAACAAAAAAATCACGTGCCTCTTAAACCCGTCACATTTTAGCCTTGACATCACTGAATCGTTTTCTGAGTTTTACAACAGTCAATCATTGTTTGTGGACACCACAGAAATGATATCGGAAAATTAGGGACAAACAGCACAAAAAATTGAACAAAAAGACAATTTGTGGTAACACTTTACTTGAAGGGGTGTGCATAAGACTGACATGACACCTTCATAATCATGACATGACACATGTCATGAATATGAAGGAGGTTTTTTGCATGTTTATGACAACTGTCATTAAGTGTCATTCGCTCAGTTATGTCATTTTTAATGCAAATATGACATTATTTGACCTAACCCTACCCCTAACCATAGCCCATAACAGACATCTCAGACAATGTCATCTTTGCATTAAAAATGACATAACTGAGCGAATGACACTTAATGACAGTTGTCATAAACATGCATAAAAAACCTTCATAATCATGACATGTGTCATGTCATGATTATGAAGGTGTCATGTCAGTCTTATGCACACCCCTTCAAGTAAAGTGTAACCCAATTTGTTAACCATTTCTTGACTAGTTTTGACTCTAGTTTTGACTAGTTTTGAATCTCTGCACATGGCTGACAATTACAAGTCTACCACCTCATTTAAAATATTTGCCTTACATTCTTAATGTTTAATTTTTCTTCTTTTTAAAAATGTTCTACTATCAGATTCTTCTGCTGTCTGGCTTTGTTCATTCCTGATCACGGTAGCGATTGAAATGCAGGAAGGAAAAGGCAGAGCACAGCCTTGATAAGCTTTCCTGTAAATGTTTTTTTTTTGTTTTTTTTTGTCAGTCTGTGAACACCCTGCAGTTCTGACCATTTGCTTTCTCCTCGCCTAACTGACCCTAAAAATACCAGACATCTTGAGACGGTGAGTGCTGCCTTTTTCAGTTATAGTTTTCAGCCACTTGTTTTAGGCGAATATTTCTAACAAAATTAAATGCATCATGCACAACAGGTATTTTTAAGATATCAAGATTTTTTGTGTTTCATGCAATTTTCTGCATGTGCTTGTGCTCCGTTTGTGCTGGAAAAAACATATATATATATATATATATATATATTGGTGAGCATGTATTCACCAACCTTATTTCCTTATTTTTAGCCTGTTGTTCATGTTATTGTCTTTGTCCAGACCTGTGCACATACGCCAACTAATACAATGGGAAGTTTGAGGTTCCATGCATTTCTCCTGCTGCTCTTGTACACTGTAAGTTCTCACATTTATCATCACTACTTTGAACTGTTTAACTCAAGGTACTCATCAAAAGTCTTTGACTTATTTTCTTCTCTCCAAATTTTCCGCTGTGATTCTTAATTGTGTTTTCAGAGTGTGGTGCAGATAACTGAAGAAGTGATACACATGGGCTTGTTTCCTGAAGCTGCTGATTACTCATTCTACAACTGTCGGAAAGAGATGCTGCAAATGGTCACAAAAAGTGGAGGTCTGCTGCAGACAGAGCTTAACAACAATGCCGATTTTAAAACTATGTGGCGAAACGCAAAATCCAAAAAGGCCATTCCAGGGAGTACACCGGAGCACATGGCTGTGCTGCAGAGCTATGTTGAAGCTACTCCTGAATTTCATGAAAAATTCAAGAAGTTGGTTCAGAACAATGGCAGGGGCAGTTCGACTTCCCAAGACGAGTTTCCTTTCAAATCTCTTTTCTTCCTGCTGACAGATGCCATGCAACTCAAAGGCCAAAAGAAATGTCGTACAGTGTACTCTGGCACAGAGAAGGAATATATCACCAAAATTGGGGAGAAAGTACGTTTTGTGAGTTTTTTCCCAGCAAAACTGCAATATACTTCTGCAACTGAGGATGCAAGTGTAGATGAAAACCCTGGGACTGTTTTCAACATCACGTCTTGTTCTGTGATCAGCCTTGAAGATTATGGGTGTAGTTCAGAGGAAATGGATGCGCTAATATCACCCACTGAAGTTTTCACAGTTGAGGATATCACGACTGTTATGAATATTAATGATAATTTTAAAAAGATCACCTTGGTACATTCTGACTTTTACAGTTCTTCTAACTGCAGCAGCCTTGCCAGGTAAGAGAGAGAGAGAGCAGTAAAGATTTGTTTGATTGTATGCAATACTAATATGTGACCCTGGAGCACAAAAGCAGTGTTAAGTCGCTGGGGTATATTTGTAGCAATAGCCAACAATACATTGTATGAGTCAAAATTACAGATTTTTCTTTTATGCCAAAAATCATTAGGATATTAAGTAAAGATCATGTTCCATGAAGATATTTTGTAAATTTCCTACCGTAAATATATCAAAACTTAATTTTTGATTAGTAATATGCATTGCTAAGAACTTCATTTGAACAACTTTAAAGATGATTTTCTCAATATTTCGATTTTTTTGCACCCTCAGATTCCAGATTTTCAAATAGTTGTATCTCAGCCAAATATTGTCCTATCCTAACAAACCATACACCAATGGAAAGCTTATTTATTCTGCTTTCAGACGATGTATAAATCTCAATTTTGAAAAATGGACCCTTATGACTGGTTTTGTGCTCCAGGGTCACATTCGTGATAAACTGAGCACATCTAAAACAAACCTACTGATCTGAATTTTCTCTTTCTGTCTAAAGCTTGTCTGAAGAATCTAAAGAATCATCTTCAAGTTTCCTGAGTTCCAGTTTCCTGAATCTGATGGCTTCCTTTCTCATGCTGTGCTTCTACACGCTGATTCTGTAATAAACTGTTTGTTCTCAGAAATGCATGAAATCATGTGGGAATAGTAAGTTACATTCATTCCATTAATGAATGTTTACCACATTCAGTGTTCTTGACTTATAAGGATGAATTTATCACAATAATAAATTACTTTCATTATTCATTTTAATGCATGTTCTCTGTTCTCATTTTAATCTAACCTTTAAGACCACTTAAAAACCCCAAAAACGTAGGACTATTTAAAATGATAAAATAGGCCTATATAATTTTTTAGTAAAACTAAGCTGCAGTGTTCCTTGAAAATGCCCAGGCATTGCAAAAAACATCCATGAATTCATTTTTATATTCCCATAAAGTATATTGGAAAGACGCTCAAGGTGTTATATGAAGTACCTCACACCACCAGAGGGCGCCATTGCAACAGACCTCATATCACTTGCAGTCATTTTCGTCATTTCTGTCATGTTGCAAATACATTCATGATACAGTTTCACTAAAAATATGGGAAATTACAGTTAAGTGTTTCAGTTAAATTTCACGCCTTCCGTTTAAAGACTTTTGGCCCTGTCTGCCTTCCATATGTCACACCCTTGCCATGTGTTGCCTACATTGTATAACTGTATCCCTAAATGTGACAATCAATTTATGTGGGACCCACTTACTAATATATAATGGTTTCTTTATATTGTCATCAATAAAGAGTCACTTATAGACCTTATGTAGCTCCGCCTCTTTCAGCGCTGCGTTTGTTGTCTTCTGTCTTCCGGTTTGTATTTCCACAGCGTGAATAAGATGTTTATTGTTTAGAGTGCATGTATAACTGACATCTTGCAGACGTACGTGTGCTATCTGGGAATTGTATCGCCATATTATTATTATTATTATTATTATTATTATTTCTCTTATTTGTATAAATATACATATAAAAACTTGCAAAGTATTACATATATTGCATACTGACTAAATGGTCTGAATGACACCAAAGGTCATCTGTCATAAAAAGAAGAAATAATTAAAAAAGAGGTCAAATACACCTAAGGGAGACAAGAAGAGCTTTAAATAAAGACCCGAGGGAGGCTGTAAGAGCTCTATATGGAGTTTCACAGTTCAAATCTAAGTGAGAGAACTCGGAAAACCATTTTAAAGAGGTGTGTGTGTGTGTGTGTGTGTGTGAGAGAGTGTGTGTGT